TATTAAGCAGTCAGCTTGTCTTGAACCACCGACTTACTAGCACTCACAGAGAACTGGCTCACACCAGATTTCTCTGACGCGGAGATCTCGATGGACGGTTACGCTATTTTTCGATCTGACCCAAAACGGGGGAGTGCTGGTGAGGTTGCTTACATGTACTTACATGCGGGCCTACCAATCCCGATTGTCCACTCTGATACCACTCCTGCACCTTTCTGCGACGCACTGGGGATCCAAATCCCTCTGCGCGGGTCCGATTCTCTCCTTCTCGGTGTGGTCTACCGTGACCAACTCCTCACACGAACCCTTGGGCAAACCTCTTTCAGCAACCACTTCACCCATCTCTTGCTAGTAGGTGACCTCAACGCTTCAAAGGCCTCCTAGATGGAGATCCAGCGCGTCAGATCAGGCGGACTTTTCGCATCGGTGCTGATTGAAGTCGTTCAACAGAGCGCTTGGACTCAGCATGTCGATGCACCCACCAGATACCGCGCGGGTAAACTACCAAACCCCCTGGATTTGATCATCACCAACGAATGATGCTTCGTTGATCAGGTAACAATTAACACTCTACCGGAGCACAGCGGCTACCATGCGCTTACTTTCGATTTCATCTGCAGTTGGGCCAGAAATCCCGAACCTCAAACGCAGTTTCGAGTCTTTTGTCGTGCAGGCATCTCAGGAGATTCAGTGGACGAGCCGGCATTTCGTAAAATGCGGAACCGCTGTAGATCAGAAATCCGCCAATGGAACATACAAAATCATTCCACCAGCTTGGGCGTCGGCCGGAAAAACAGAAATGTACTGTTCAAATACATGAGACATCGCCGCAGAAACAAACCATCCGCGTTCTTCTTGAGGGACAAAAACGGTGAACCCACGAGTGACCCAATTGGGGTATCTGAGGTTACCAGAGAACACACTATACAGATATATATTCAGCCCCAGCGTCCTCGTCACACCCAATCTTGTCAAGGCGTAACAGCGAACAGACTTTAACCGGCTTGGTCTTCACGATGGATGACATTAGTCAACTATTTCACAAGATCAACCCATTCTGCGAGGTCCATCCGGGGATCATGAGGAAAACTTTTTCTACACTGGCGAATCCTTTACACCTGGTGTTTCTTCAGTCGCTTGCCGAAGGCCGCCTTCCCTCTGCTTGGAAGGAAGCGATTGTAACGTACATATTTTCATGAATTCTACCCTATTTGGGGCAACGACGCGCGAAGCTGTTAGAAGCCTTGGAAATGTGAAATTCGGGCCGCAGCGGACCCGGAGTACTTTTGAACAGCGTCAACCAAACTACAGCCGCAAGGGTGAAGAAGGGTATTCAAATAAACCCTGTCGAATGCTAAATAATTATTTCAAGCTTTCTTCCTCGGAAGTATGGTTCCAGAGATTTTCGTGGTATATAGTCTAGCCTCGGCGCACCCTAGCACCGAAATTTACTAGTCGAATGCGCGACAAATGTTTTGAAGGCGTAGTGTTCAAAACAAATTTCGACAACTTCAAATTAGATCGGTGTGGATTTCGCCTTGAACGCGCGCACAATAAAACATTTTGGATCGGAAAGCTTCATTCCACTCGCCAATTTTCGCAACTAAGTTCTTTGTGAATCTAAGGATTGGAATTTGATACAGACAATGCCTGCAGCGACGCTTTGAACGCACAGTGCATTTTTCTGAGAAACCTTTGCGAATAGAATGAAACCGTTCGGGCCAAAACGTTGCATTTTCTTGCATATGAGCTGGGGCAAAAAATCACTTTCAAATGGCATTGTTTCTGAGATCTGTTTCGATTAATCCTCCAAATTTTTGGCGAACATTCGACTTTGAAACAGCTGTACCATCGCATCAGAAATGGCGTTTGGTGAGAATTTCGGGACTGTTTGCTTTTCTCCTTTCACGAAGAACAAGGTCTTGAAGCATAAGTATAGGCATGTGGTATTGCTCGTTCATCCAGTACTCGAAGTACCAGCGCTGCTTTGCGTTGCTATCAGATGTACAACGAATGCAACAGGCGAACGCCGAGACTAACGGAGAGGTCGGGGAATACGACGAAGCCATTAAATTGAGCGGGCTTTGTAATAAAAATAGTGCGCAGAGCGCCGGCCATCCTTTGCGGTTTTGTCAACGGAGGCAAAGGAAATACCTCGCAGTCATCTTTTATTTTATTGAACAGAACCACAAGTCGCCAAACATTTGAACGACCGGCTCCCGGTTAATCAACGGTTAACCCAAGACTACTGGACACCCGCAAGGCTCTTCTGAAATATGTGACGACGTCGTTTTAAGTGCTGCAGATTTTAGCCGATGAATTGGACAAGATCAGTTTATAAACAGCTACCGTCGAAAGTATCAACTGGTTCTGCTTCACTGATTCACGCGCTTACGGAAATTATTCATAGTAAGGAGGCTTTTGCCCAAGTTTCTGGGCCGGTTTTGTTCCTGTTGTTCAGCAGCTGTCGTTCGCCTGAATGGCACAATTTGAAAAAAGGGTGTAGCACTGCTCTTTATGTTCGCAGCACGGGGCAGTATGCTTGCCATCGCGGGGATTCGCATGCATAAATGTCCAGTGGTGCTTTGAACTGTGCTCGCGAAGGAGCGCGGACAAACGTCAGAGTAAGGTCATTCCACGCAGCTACTACCCGAAATGAGGAAAAAATTGCCTGATGAATATGTGCGCACTCAGACTGAAAGTCTACTTACCATGCCCCCGCCATGTTTTTGCTGGGTCAACGGTGGAAAACCTGTTGGTCAAGCTTTGTTCAAACCGGGCATAAGTAAGAATTAGGTTCCCTCGGAGGCGACGATAATCCAGGGGGAAGAGATCTAGCATCGCGAGACGCGTATCGTGGACCACGTTTTTGAGGCCGGCAACCATTTTCGCAGCGGTTGCTCAATGAGGGTGCGTCCTAAGCAAACAACTTGGTTTGCGTTTTCAAGGAGCGCTCTGATGCAGGCCTCACAGAGTGTATGGAAATCCATGCGAGTGATACAGGAGAAAGTTCGCCGAACCATCCGTAAAATAGCGAATGCCTTTCGGGACGAATTCTTACGGTGCAGTGGCAAGAAGTTTGAGAAAACCCAGATACCCAAATTCTTTTTGTCGTCTATCCTCATGATGTTTTCTGGTCCTTTCTCACCATGCATAACAAAGGCTTTCGCTGAGTCTCCTCTGATTGACAAATGGAACGCACTTCCCGTCATTCAGAGGAAAGTGCCAGTCCAACAACCTCTGGTTTGCAGCGTCTACACCCATTTGGAGGGCACTGGCGTTGGAAATTCAGGATATCAGGTCGTCCGCAAAAGGTAGATATGGACTTGTGAGAACATCTGGAAGTTCGTTGGCGTACATCAGAGACAGCGTTGGTCGCTGGACGGTACCTCGAGGAGCTCCAGTGAACACTGGAGCTGGCGAAGAGTAGGTCGAATCCGAATCATCTGTCTGATAGGAACGCCTCGATGCATTGAGGGATTTTCGCTTGAATCCTGTAAGACTCGAGTTTGTGGAGCAGCGGGACGGGTGGGACCCCATCAAAAATATGGCGAAAAATATGGCGTCCGATATGATATGACACATACATATATATGATATGTATATGATATATTTGGCCAAAATAGATAGTTCCTCATCTGGATCAGCAGCGTGCATGGGTACGGGCCCGGCAGTTACGATTAGCAGCCGCGGTAACAGCGCCAAAACTAAACGGTATGACGGACCTCTGTTGGCCATCGAATAAGGTTATCGTAATCAGCGTCGCCGATGGACAAGGGCCTAGTAGTTACAACAGTAGTCGAGCTGAGTGATAACGCCTACGTGATCGGCAATTTGTGCTCCTAGTTGCTACAACTATATTTGAGCTTCATGACATATTCCGCCTTTGGAGCATCACGTTCTCAATGGAACTGATATAATTGCGTTGGCAATACATCTGCAGATATTTCGTCACGCGGTCTAGTTATGCATATTTGGGGAGGAAGCCCACCAACAGAGATAGCCGTTGCATCACTACTACGGAATTCATGAAGTTGTCTAACGCTGCTTTACCTGATGAAAATGAGCTTCATGCAGGTACATATTAGCCGCACAGTGCTTCTAGCTACAAAAAATCACGAGGAAAACAAAACATTTTGCGCCAAAATGTTACGTTTTGTTGCGTATGTGCTCAAACCAAAAACAATTCTGACCTACGTTCATATTTTTGCAGCTCACCAAATTTGGTTGTCCACTAGAACAATCATACCTCAGGCGAAAAAGTCTGGTGGAATAGTTCCCCAGCGTCGCTGAGACCCCGGGAAACCTAAACGGGGTTCACAAGTGTGGACTGGTACTCTCAACTCAATTGCCCGATTACTATGGTCCACCGGAGACACGTCATATTCTGCGGAAATTCCATTCAATTGGGCGAACACTAGCTCCACAGTACCATCTTGTATGCTAAATCTGAACTTTCGTGGATAGAATTTTTATTGGATATTCTGTAGATGTCATCTCATTTTTAAAGAACACCAAAAAACTTCGAAATATGCTGAAGTGCGATTTTGTGATTTATCTTTCGTAAACCGGTAAAAAAACGAATCAGCGATGATCTGTAACCTTAAAATCTTGTCTACTTAAAAAATGCCGTGTTTGGAATAACCTTCCTCCGACGGTTGTCCACGCTTTGTCCAGTCCAAAGTACTATTAGATACTTACGTGATTTCTCGCGCTGGTATGTTTACCAGTAAGCCCCTACTGACCAGCACTGAGAACTTACAGAACAGTGCCACACCCCTTTTTCGCCTGTGCCGGCAGCTGCTGAACGACAAGAACAAAACCGACCCGGGAAACCTGGGCGAAAGCCTCGATCATGTGTACCAATCCGTGAATACTTGTTTTCGTTATATGCACTGTTTGCCAGCGTGGCATCGAATAGGAAAACTGAACTAACCTTGACGATATCTCTGGTGTATATTTTGGCCAGAGCCTCTCTTCTTACTTTCGGGCGACGGAGAATGACGGGTTCTGAATATGGGGCATCATATACTGGAATAGAGTCTTTCAGTGAATATCGTGAGAGGCTTAATTTCAGATTAAATAAACGTAACTCTGAATACGCTCATCAGCCCTTTGCATGGGACTCTACCTCAGGGAGTGATTTTTCCGCAGCTGGCAGGCTAAAGGACCCTTTACAAGTTGGGTGAGGTGTATTTTTTCTATTGCTCAATCGGTCGGTTAAGTGAAAATCAGTGCGCTGGAGGAGGCACGTCGGGCGACGGGCACAGACCTGGTAACGGATTGCGTTTCATAGTTCTTACTCGATTCATTTAATTCAGCTGACGATACGAATTTGACAGGCGCCGATGCAACTGAAGAAGTAACACATACGTCATTGGTGGAATTGAAGGAATCCTCAACGCAGACGCAGCGCGCTTCAAGCGATTCACAGCAAGTCGCATCCCGGGGAACGTTTGGACCGTACAGTATCGGCTCCAACATGAAAGGACCGTCAAATGTGAGGTCACAGTCCAACGTG